TTTTGCGTTCTGAATGATTTTTTTGCACTAAAGTAATTAATTGCATTCAGGTTCATGGGTAAACTCAACCATTTTAGTCACATACAGCACCTTGGATTGGGAACAAAAGACTTGTTCCGTAGCCCACAAATCCTCACAATTTATATTTCTTTATAAAGAGTGACCCTTTTATAAGCAGACAAAGTCTACATTGCCACTGCAGTTTGTCTGTTAATTGTCTTATGAATTCTATTTTGTAGACAGGGGTTGATTTGACCAAAGACAACATGGCACTTCAGAGGGTTCGGGAAGCTGCTGAGAAGGCTAAGTGTGAACTCTCCTCATCTGTGCAGGTGAGACATGAAGAAATCCAAGTTCTTTTGGTGGATATTTTTAGCCTAACCTTATTTGAATCATATATTCTAATTTACCTAATGTCAGTGTAGCCTGTTTACAGTTTTCTATTTGCTAAAAACCTTGAGCAATCTGGGCAGTGCTGGCATATGCCTTTAATCCCAGCACTCTGTGATTTCGAGGCCAGCCTGGTCTATAGAGAGAGTTCCAGGATAGACTCCAAAGCTACTGAGAGAAATCGTGTCTGGAAAAAAAGAACAAAAACCTTGAGCTGGGCAGTGGTGGTGCACTCCTATAATCCTAGCATGCGGGGAGGCACAAGTAGGCAGATCACTCTGAGTTCAAAGCTACCTTGGTCTACAAGAGCTAGTTAGAGGACAGTTAGGGCTGTGATACAGAGAAACAGTCTCAAAAAAGAAAGAAAAAAGAACAATACGACAATAATCACTTTTCTTTTTAATGAATTAGGTAAATATGTGGATCTTTTGTTCACATGTATATACGTACTGCATGTGTGCTTGGTTCCTGCAGAGGCCAGAACTCCCATGTTCTCTAGAAGACCTGCCAGTGCTCTCAACCACTGAACTATCTTTTCAGCCCTGAGATAGATAATTTTTAAATTACGTATTATATGTGCATTGGTGTTTCTGCCTGCACCTTTTTCTGAGGGTGTCAGATCCCCTGGACTAGAGTTACAGAAGCAGTATGGTGAATGATTAACCATTATTCAATTCAATTATTCAATTATTAATTGAAATAATTAATGTCTTTAATGTATTATTTTGTGGATTGTATGAATTGCTAGTTTTCTGCCTAATAAATTGGATCACCAATTTAGAAAGTGAGCTGTGGAAAAAAATCTGCCCTGTCAGCAACAGATTTGCTCCATCTCTCTGTTCTGCGCTTGTTTGTTGACCTCAGTTCTGAGAGGTAAAGCTTCCCTGTCTTAACCAAGTGTAGACTAGTGTAAAATCTAGGTTACAGCCTCACCAGGGTGAAACCAGTCTAATCTTGTGACTGCTTAAGATTCTTACATTCACAGCAACAAGTTATGGTAGCTGTTGGTTAAGTGGCTGTTGCTAACCGAGTTGCTGAAACCTGAACGCTGTATACAATAATCTATTTTTGAGTTCGGCCCTAGCTCCCTAACCTTCACTGTTGTAAGGGGCTGTGAGTAGTTAGTTACCATGTTGTCCATACTATGCTCATGAGGAGTGATGCCATTCTCCCTGCTGAGTATCAGAACTTGTTTGACTTATTCATGTTTAAGGTTGTGGTTTAAGAGCCTGACTTTGCCAGTAGAACGAGAAATATATAAGTCTCAGAATTTGATACTGGGAGGGGAAAAGGTTGTTTATGTTTACATGGCTGTGTCTTACTGGCGGACATTTTCTTTTCTAGCCTTTAGCACTTTAGCAAAGTATTTAGCCACGTCAGTGTATAGTTATGATTGTAAATCTGTAAAATAAATCCTTGGGAATATCTCAGAAGACTTAAAAGTTTACTCTGAAAAGATAGATTTTTAACTAGAATATTAACTGAGCCCTGTGGTGGTCTCCTGCCACTCAGACTGGCCTTGAACTTATCGCTGAAGACTTGGGCAGTGCCAGCACATCAGTGTACATCCCTCCTGCTTTGTTTTAGTAAGAGTATATGTAACACTTACTAATTCCTGGAACTTAGTCTGGATATGTTAAGAGGTTGATGGAGAACATACGTTCTTTTTATTTCTTGTTTGACGTCGACGTTCCTCCCCAACCCCCCATACACATCACACCCTGTTTCTCTCTATAATAGTCCTGGCTGTCCTAGAACTTGCTTTGTAGACCAGGCTGGACCCAAACTATCAGATCTGCTTGCCTCTGCCTCCTAAGAGCTGGGCCCTTCATGATTTCTTTTTTAGAGATTATTTTTATGTATGTGGAGAGGATGGGAGAAGGTTAGTGCAGATACCAGTGGAAGCTAGAAGAGGAGAGTATCAGATTTCCCAAAACTGCACTATGGGCAGTTGTTAGCTACCCAACATTGGTGCTAGGAATTTAACTCAAGTCCTGTCAAAATATCAAGCACTGTTTAACTATTGAACTCAGACATGGAATATTTTAACTCGATGTGAAAGACAACCATACACACAGTATGTTTCTTAAAGATTTTTTTTGGTACTATTCATCTGTCACATGATAATTTCTTCAGCTTGTGTGTCCCGGTCTTCGTTGTTAATATTTATAAACCCTATTAAAAGAGATTTTAGTGTATTTCCACTACATCATAGTAATTTAGTAAGGCTAATTTTCTGTGCTTCCTAGGTCCTATCCTAGGGTATAGTCTTAACCTTAATTGGAGTCATAAAGATTAACCTGTAGTGAAATATTTTCTGTGTAGACTGACATCAACTTGCCATATCTTACAATGGATGCTTCTGGACCCAAGCATTTGAATATGAAGGTAACTCGAGCTCAGTTTGAGGGCATCGTCGCAGATCTGATCAAGAGAACTATTACTCCATGCCAGAAAGCTATGCAAGATGCAGAAGTCAGCAAGAGTGACATAGGAGAAGTGATTCTGGTTGGTGGCATGACGAGAATGCCCAAGGTATGGACTCATGTTATAGTCTTTATAAGTGGGGAAAATCAATATATAATGCATTTTAATTAAAAGATGTAAGAAAAGGTATCAGGGAGAATATTGAACCCATTCTTGTAAAGATAATGTTGTCAAGCCTTGATGGTGGTCATTCCCTAGGAGATATTTTTTAGGCACTTCTTCTCAGCATAGTGGTTTGGACTACTTGCATTACTTCAACAAAGATTTGTGCAATGATGCATTTTATTAATCAACACATCATTCTGAAAACAGATGTGTAGATAAGTGATAACTGAGCACAGACTGTTGAAGGTGCAGTTGTTCCTTGGAGGCTGGATAGAATTACCTTGGGTCCAAGTTAATGGTGGAATTACTGCTTTTGGTAGTGGTTTCTGTTGTTTTTTGTTTTGTTTTTAATTTTACTGATTTTTATTGAGCTCTATGTTTTTCTCTTCTTCGCTCCCTGCCTCTTCCCACCCCTTTAACTCTCTCCCATGGTCCCCATTCTCCCAGTTTACTTGGGCGATCTTGTCTTTTTCTACGTCCCATGTAGATTAGATCTATGTAAGTCTCTCTTAGGGTCCTCATTGTTACCTAGGTTCTCTGGGATTGTGATTTGTAGGCTGGTTTTCTTTGCTTTATGTTTAAAAACCACTTAAGAGTGAGTGAGTACATGTGATAACTGTCTTTCAAAATGATGTTTTCTAGCTCCATCCAGTTGCCTGCAAAATTCAAGATGTTATTTTTTTCTGTGTAGTACTCCATTGTGTAAATGTAGGTGGGTTGTGTTGTTTGTGGGAGATTTTGTTTTTTCTGTTTCAACACTAGGATATTGGAAAATGAATCTAGAATAAAGTTGGACCCAGAACTCTGTTTACAGAGGACATGTTGATATTAACAAATTATCTCAGGATGCTATGTACTTTTGTTAGCTCTTAAGACTTAGGGTCTAAAACTACCACACGGAATTGGTATTAGTGCTTCCTTCAAATTGGCATTTGATCAATTATGTAGAAGTGTAGGCTCTATTTTATAGTCCCTTGCCTTATGCCTTCTGTTTCCAGTGATGATTGTTGTCTGGAAGACAGATAATTCAAACAAATGCTTCTAAATTAAGTGGATAAAGTGAGTTGTTAAACATGAACAGGAAGTCAGCATTCTTGGAGCTGAGTCCATCTGACTTGCGATCTGGCTGGCATCTTCATGCTCTGTCTCAGTTCAGCAGTGGCCCTGGGTGTTGGCTAACAGGTTCTTTGTCTTCCATACATAGGTTCAGCAGACTGTGCAAGATATTTTTGGCAGAGCCCCAAGTAAAGCTGTGAATCCTGATGAGGCTGTAGCCATGGGAGCTGCCATTCAGGGAGGTGTGCTGGCTGGTGACGTCACAGATGTGCTGCTCCTGGACGTCACTCCCCTCTCTCTGGGTATTGAGACTCTGGGAGGTGTCTTTACTAAACTTATTAATAGGAACACCACAATTCCAACCAAAAAAAGCCAGGTAAGAGTTATCCTTCCTAACAGGTTTTATGTTCCATGAGTACATAATTGCAGCCACTTCATGAACTTTTTAAAACATTGTTTCTAAATCCACACCAGCTAACTGGGTGAGATTACCTGTTCTTTGTTTTGTTTTGCTTTGTTTTTTGTTTTTGTGTTTGTTTATGTTTTGTTTTGTTGCGGTTTCTGGAAAAGTTCTTAGATATCAGCTAGCAGTGGTGATTAAGGGAAGGATAATGCAGTCTCCTAAAAGGGCTGTTGTCATTTGCCACTGAATTCTCTGTTGTGTGAAACAAAATGAAAAGTGTGGTGGCTAGCAACATGGGACTAGGCTTGATTTCATCGTGAATGATGGGGGCTGGGTTGTATGTTACCAAGCAGGGATATATGGCTTGGCAGGATTCTAGATGAAGAATTACTTCTTGTGACTGGTTGGATTATCCCAACATTTGGGAAGTTCAGGCATGAAAATTGAGAATGTGAGAACTGCGGGACCATATAGTGTGACACTGTCTCAAATGGTTGTATTTCCAGACTCCTATCAGTCTTGAATTATTCTAGGATCTTTCTCTCTCTCTTTGGTATTTGTGCAGTGATGTATTTGTCAACACATCATTCTGAAAAAAGTATGTGATGACATCTCAGGACTGAGCACATGGTACATTGCCTATCTCTGGTCTTACATCCTTGGACTGACTAGCTGTTATTTTATATCCTTGTTTTGATGCCTTAAACTTCCAAGCTTAAAGCTTCATCTTGTTCAACGTACTTGTTTAGCTGAAACAATAGCTGTTTTGTGCCATTAAATACTAATCCTACTCCTGTCTTTGCAGAGATATACCTTTGTTCTGAGAGTAATATATGTTAGGAATCATCCAGTATTAGAATGTGAATGCCCCTACTTAGCCTTTTTCTGTAAAATGGGTGTAGTTTAATCAGATTACCAAGTAAGAAAGTTTCCTTCTTACTAGGTATTTTCTACCGCTGCTGATGGACAAACTCAAGTAGAGATTAAAGTGTGTCAGGGAGAGCGAGAGATGGCTGGGGACAACAAACTTCTAGGACAGTTCACCTTGGTAAGTATTTCAATTCTGAATATCATGTGTTTTGGTCCTATAGCTTACAAAGGTGACAGTATCTAACCTACCCAATTGGTTGCAAACAGGCATACTTTTACTTTATTAATGCTTTATTGAGGTTTTACTATTGTATGAGTGTATGTCTGTGCACCAAGGCCGGGAGAGGGTATTGGATTCCTTGGAATTGAACGTACTATAGTTTACTGCAATGTGAATGCTGTGAATTGAACCTGGGTCCTTGGGAAGAAACCGCCAGAGCTCTTAACCACTGAACCATCAGCCCAGCCCATACTGTTGTTACTTTTGAAAAACAGTTTTCATAGGTGAATTATGAAACTCATAAATTCAGTTTTTACCTGAAAGTGCTTTGTTTTCAGATCCTTATTTAAAAGTCAGGGGCATGTTCAGATTCAAAAGCAGTGCTAACTCAGAAATCAGTTGAGTCATGATTGCAAACCACTTGATGGCCACCGTTTTGGGTCAGCATTGCGACAGTGAAGAAGTCCTGATTTACTGAAAAAACTCTGGGCCCACACAGCTATTATGGTTTTGTATTTGCTCCTTGAAGCACTAAAATCTCAAGTTTCTGTACTTTAGTGAAGGTAGCACTTGTTTTCGGGAGTAAGTGGTGGATGGCCTGTTTGGAAATGTGAGCACATCTGAGAGGAGCTGACTCTGAGTATTTACTTTAGGTTGGAATTCCCCCGGCCCCTCGTGGAGTCCCTCAAATTGAAGTTACATTTGACATTGATGCCAACGGTATTGTACACGTTTCTGCCAAAGATAAAGGAACAGGACGTGAACAACAGAGTAAGTATTCAGACTATATGAGTGATATGCTGAGAACTTTGTCCAGCAGTAGAGTGCCTTCCAGCATGTGTGATGCCGTGGGTTTGTTTACCATCAAAGGAAAAGTAAGGTGGCCGTTATTAGGAACTACATCCTGTTTCTAGGCCTCTTCTCCCCTGGGGTGGTTGCTACCACACTGCCCCTTTTTCCAGGTATCAGAGATAGGGGTGTTTCACTTGCATGGTTTTTGTTTTTTTCTCTTTTGGTTTTCTGAGACAGTGTCTTGAGGATGTAAGGCATGCGCCACCACTGCCTGGCTTTGAATGTATTTCTTGTACCTCATGCATGACCGATTCCCTGGAAAGGATTGCTGCCAGTCTTAAGATATATTCTTGCTGAAGTGAATTTCTGGCTTTTTGTTTGTTTTGAGACAGGGTCTGACTTTGTATCCCTGATTGACCAAGAACTTGCTGCTCAGACCATGCTAACCTTAAACAATGATATCTGTATGCTTCTTCCTTCCAAATGCTGGCATAGATCTCTAAATTTTTTGTTAAGTTTTTGAGACATGGTTTGGTTTCTCTGTGTGTAGCCCTAGCTGTCCTGGAACTAGCTCTGTAGGCCAGGCTGGCCCCAAACTCAAGGTTTGTCTGCTTCTGCCTGTTTAGTTCTAGGATTAAAGGTGTGTGCCACTACTGCCCAGATAGATGTCTGAATTTTCATAAGTTAACATTATGTATAAGCAAACAGGCAAGCCTTACCTTGTGGATTGCTGAAGTTTCACTTGGGAGGCAAGTCACTTGGTCTTTTTATACGACTCACTCATAAGATAATAACTAATACTCATAATTTGAATCATTCAGATTAGTTACTATAGAGGCAGCATTTATCTACTTGTTTCTTTATTGTGGAGGCTGGGTCTCATTTTGTAGCCGTGGCTGGCCTTAAGCTCAGAGTTGCCTGCTTCTTGAGTGTTGGGATTAAAGGTGTGCACCATGCAGTGTAATGTTATTTGTTCATACAGTGAAGGAAGAGAACTAAAGAATTTTTTTAATTAACTCCAGTTGTGATCCAGTCTTCTGGTGGATTAAGCAAAGATGACATTGAAAATATGGTTAAAAATGCAGAGAAGTATGCTGAGCAAGACCGGAGAAAGAAGGTGATTACTTCTACTGAACTTGTTAAAGCTGACAGACTGGGCTCTTAAGTTTCTCATCTTTATTGTTCCCTTTCATTAACTTATACTTTGTTTAATGTGAGATTACACCCTGTAGTCAGAATGATTTCCACAACCCTCCTATTTCTCAGCCTCCACTGGTACCTAGGACTAAGGGCACATACTGGGTTTGGAATGTTCTCTTAGTCTCCCTCTATCAAAATTCCCACGCCACAAAAGCCAACTCAACTCTTTTCTTGGGGTCATTCCAAGTACTTCTGAGTACAGTCATTCTAGCTTTACTGTTAACGATGTGGTAACTTATTATCTCATGTGATATAGAAGTTAATGAAACTTGTGTTGATTGGAAAGTCAGTTATGTTAAACTTTTTTTAAGGAACGCGTTGAAGCAGTTAATATGGCTGAAGGAATTATTCATGACACAGAAACCAAGATGGAAGAATTCAAGGACCAGTTACCTGCTGATGAGGTAAGTTATTAGAAACAATCAAAGAGAATATTTGCTGATTCATTGAAGGTCATTTTTTGGGTTTGATAGTGATTTGGGTTTTTTAAAACATTAATAAAGGGTAGAGGTAAGGCAAAAATAATGCTTGAAAATTTGAATAGTGCACTACATGTAAGAAAAGAACATTCTAGAAAAAGGGTTTCTTTTGTTTTTTGTTTGTTTGTTTGTTTGTTGCCTTTTACAGTGCAACAAGCTAAAGGAAGAGATTTCCAAAATGAGAGAACTGCTTGCTCAAAAGGACAGTGAAACGGGAGAAAACATTAGACAGGCAGCATCTTCACTGCAGCAGGCATCACTGAAGCTCTTTGAGATGGCATATAAAAAGGTACAAGGGCTGGAGGGGTATTTGTTCAAGATTACTGGGAACAGAATGTTACAGGGAAAGGCATAGGAAATAGTGATGGTTTATAAGGGCGGGTGGAAGGAGTGATAAATGCAATGTGAGTTATGGATGAAGGATGAGGTTAGACCTAATGTGAAATCTCAGTGATCCAAATATTTTTTCAACAGATGGCATCTGAACGGGAAGGTTCTGGAAGTTCTGGTACTGGGGAACAGAAGGAAGACCAGAAGGAGGAGAAACAGTAACAGTGGCAAGGCATTGAGAAAGGCCAGAAGGACAACATGAAGCTTGGGCGTAAAGGGACGTCCTGAGCAGAAAAGGGTCAAACTTCAGTCTTTTTACTGTGTTTTTGCAGTAACCCATATAATTTCCTTAATAAATATATGTAGTGAAAATTAGCTAACTCATTTAATGGGTGGTAATTCAGAAGTAGCAGTTCATACCATTCTGTCACTAGCCATTTAGTTTCAGCCACGTGTAAAGGGGTGGGTTGGGACTGTATACCAATCATTAAGATATATCTGGTTTGTGCTGGAGGAGCCATGTTTTCAAAGTGTGAAACCCATTTCACACGCAGTAGTCTTGTAATGGACCTTGAGATTGTATGTAGATCTTTGTTGGCCAAGAGGACTGCTATAAAGAATGGTCCATTTGTATATGAGGCGATCCTTCAACAGGCCTTACAAGACTAAGCTACCTGTGCCATGCATGGTTTGTAGGTACAGAAGCTAAGCCAGTGGGTAACAACTGTTAGTCATGGCTTAAAGAGATGCAGGAAAGTGATGAAGTCTTTCGTGGTCCTAAGTCATAGTTTCTAAGCTACCGTCTTGGTTGGCCTGTGTCTGGCACCCATATCCTTGATGATCATTCTTTTCATCCATTTTGGAGGGTTTTTTTAAAAAATAAAATTCTAAAAACATCTTGATTTCCTTTGTGAATGGCATTAGTTTTAGGAAGAAATGAAAATGACTTTCTAACACTGGCTAAGTTTGGACACATTGAAGATACAGGAGGAATAATAAAAATATTGGCATGTATGTCAGATGTGGAAGCACACTCAGGAAGCCAGCCAGGGCTATAAATTGAGATTCTCAAAGTACTGGCTGGCATAAACAAATTGAAAAAAAAAAAAACAAGTACTGTTTCTAGATTCAACAAAATTAGAAAGCAGAGCTGATTTTTTTTTCGTTTGCTTTTGTTTTTATTGAGCTATATATTTTTCTCCACTCCTCCCTTCCTCTCCCCTCATGTTCTACCCTCTCCCATGGTCCCCCATGCTCCCAATTTACTCAGATCTTGTCTTTTTTTACTTACCAAGTCAATTAGATCATGTATGTCTCTCTTAGGTTCCTCTGTGTTGTCTAGGTTCTGTGGGATTGTGAATTGTAGGGTGGTTTTTCTTTGCTTTATGTCTAAAAGTCACTTTTATGCACAAAATTTTCCTTATCCATTCTTTGGTTGAGGGTTATTTAGGTTGTTTTTCCAGGTTCTGGCTGTGACAAACAATACTGCATGAACATAAGCTGAGCACATGTCCTTGTGGTATGATTGAGCATCCTTTAGGTATATACCCAAAAGTGGTATTGCTAGCTCTTGAGGTAGGTTGGTTCCTGATTTTCTGAGGAATCGCCATACTGATACCCAAAGGGGCTGTACCAGTTTGCACTCCCACCAGCAATGGAGGAGTGTTCCCCTTACCCTACATCCTCTCCAGCATAATTTGTCAACACTTTTTTATCTTGGCCATTCTTACAGGTTTA